GACTACACAGATATATGTGGAAAAGGAGGTTGAAGAAGGAGATTCTTCTGAAGCAGAACCAGCACATGATGAACAAGAACCAGAGAGTTCTGAAGCTCCAACAACTCGTCAATCAGATCGTGTGAGAAGACGTCCCAAATTGCACTTAGATTATGTTATAGAAGGAAATATTGCATACTATCTTTTAACAGAGGACGGTGAGCCATCAACATATGATGAGGTAATAAACAGCTCAGATGCTTCACTGTGGATGATGGCGATGCAAGAAGAAATTGAAGCCCTTCATAAAAATAATACATGAGACCTTGTGCCACTACTACAAGGAAAGAATCCAATTGGTAACAAATGGGTCTTCAAAATCAAGCGAAATAGTGACGATCAAGTTGAGAGGTATCGTGCAAGACTGGTGGTCAAAGGATATGCTCAAAAAGAAGTATTGATTTTAATAAAATATTTTCTCCTGTGGTTCGACTAACAACAGTTCGAGTAGTTTTGGCAATGTGTGCTACATTGAACTTACATCTAGAGAAACTAGATGTTAAAACAGCTTTTCTTCATGAAAATCTTGAAGAAGATATTTACATGCTCCAGCCTGAAGGTTTTGAAGAAAAAGAAAAGAATAACTTGGTTTGCAGGTTGAACAAATCTCTGTACGGTCTAAAGCAGGCGCCGAGGTGTTGGTATAAGAGATTTGATTCCTTCATTATGTGCATTGGATACAACAGACTTAATGCAGACCCTTGTGCTTATTTCAAGAGGTCTGGTGATAACGATTTTGTTATATTGCTGTTGTATGTGGATGACATGTTGGATGCATGACCCAACAAAGATCATATTGAAGAATTGAAGGCATAACTGACTATGGAATTTGAAATTAAGGACTTGGGATCAGCAAACAAGATTCTAGGGATGCAAATTCACCAAGACAAAAGTAATAGGAAGATTTGGCTTTCACAAAAGAATTACTTGAAGAAGATCTTGTCACGATTTAACATGTAAGATTGTAAGTCAATTTATACCCCTCTTCCTATTAACTTCAAATTATCCTCCAGTATGAGTCCTAGCAGTGAAGAAGAGAGGATGGAGATGTCTCGAGTACCGTATGCATCAGCAGTGGGAAGTTTAATATTCGCTATGATATGCACAAGACCACGCATTGCACAAGCAGTGGGAGTGGTTAGTCGGTACATGGCGAATCCAGGCAAAGAGCATTGGAATTCAGTAAAGAGGATCCTGAGATACATCAAAGGGACCTCAAATGTTGTATTATGTTACGGAGGATCAAATTTACTTATCAATGAGTATGTTGATTCTGACTATGCAGGGGATTTGGATAAAAGTAAATCTACTACAGGATACGTATTTAAAGTTGCTAGTGGAGCTATAAGCTGAGTATCAAAATTGCAGTCAGTTGTGGCTACATCCACAACAGAAGCAGAATATGTAGCAGCTACACAAGCCAGTAAAGAAGCAATTTGGTTGAAGATGCTATTGGAGGAGCTTGGGCACAATCAAGAGTATGTCTCTCTGTTTTGTGATAGTCAAAGCGCCTTGCATCTAGCAAGGAATCCATCATTTCATTCAAGGACAAAGCACATACGAGTTCAATACCATTTCATTCGTAAAAAGGTGAAAAAATGGACGGTAGATATGCAGAAGATTCATACCAAAGACAATATAGCAGATTTCATGACGAAGGCGATCAATGCTGATAAATTTACATGGTGTCGATCCTCTTGTGGCCTGTCAGAGACGTAAGCAACATGATGGTACAAGGTAGAAAGAATGGTGTGAAGATATGATTGTTCCAATCAAATCTTCAAGTGGGAGATTGTTTACTATGCACCGAAAGTGTGCATAATAAATGCAACTTTCGGTGCTGCTTGAAAAAAAAGGGGCAGCAGCTATTGTTGAATTTTCAACAATGGTAAAATCTCATTTTTAGCCATTATAATTTAGGGTATTTACAAATTAGTCCTTAAAACTTCAACTATAAATACCCTAGCTCATTTAGCTTCAAAAGCATCCCAAAGCATTCTAGCTTTCTTCTAATACTAGAGAAAATTTAGAGAGTTTCTTGAGAGTCGTTTTCTCCTTTTTATCAAGAGAGAATTATCATTGTTTTCTCCTTGGTCGATCGAGAGAAGTTGTAATTCCTATTTTCTCATAATGAAATTCTTCTACCGTTGCCTGCGGTTCTTACCCTATATTATTTAGGGGTTTTCCACGTAAATTTTGTGTCTCTTTTATCTTCATTTTTATTTTCTCAAATTATCAGTTACGATTTTGCTCTTTTCGATAGCCGTCTTCCGCAACAAATACTACTTTATTATCACCCTATATTAATAAAAAAATATTTGCATTATTATTATTTTTTGGCTTAATACCAAAATAAATGTCCAAATTATATCGTTTTAACCAAATAGGTGTCTAAACTATTTTTTGACTCATCTAGGTACCTAATGTTACAAACGTTACCCATTTAAATACTCGGACTGTCAACGACGTTAATTTCTCTCGTTAAGTGACATATGTCATAATCTGGTGATTTTACATTTTTTTAAAAAAAATTAAAAAAATTATTATATTTATTAAAAAAAACTCTAATTTCTCTTAAATTATGATATAGCTCCAAATCCCTAAAATCTCCCAATGTTAACCTTAACTCGCCAAGACGTAGTCCTTGTCATCCTCCTAATCATACATCGTATTTGTTGTCGCCAATTGGTCGTCAGAATCGCATGGGATCGTGATTTTCAACCTATGGTTCGCGGGGCATAAAACATCTATCGATTATCAATCGGTCACGATTTCAAAAGGGTTTTGGTCTCCGGGAGAAGGGGAGGTTGAGTGGAACTTCATCGACAACAAAAGATGACAATCGACGTAACTTTAGGGGTTGAAATGAAGGTTTTCAAAATTTTGATTTATTTCGAAATTTGTATTTTTTTAAAAATATATATAATTTAAATTTTTTAATTATAAATAAAAATTTTAAATTTAACAATTGTGACATGCCACTTAACAAAAAACTAGCACCGTTAACAATCTAGACACCTAAAATAATAACTTTTGTAACATCAGACACCTGAATAAGTTAAAAAATAGTTTAAACATCTATTTGAGAAAAACATTACAGTTTAGACGCTTGTTTTGATATTAAGCCTTATTTTTTTCACGTCATTCAAGCGCACAACCCTTAGATTTCCCTTTCACTCCATCCCATATTCGAGACACAAACACACTTCATACATAATAAGATCGTTTAGAACACAAACAAAATGAATTTCTCATAAATAACGGTACAGTTCCGTGAAAATCACAAAGCCTCCCTCCCCCACCCCAATTCACAAACAACTCAACTAAAATTACATTAATAAAATCCTAATCAAAATCAAATCATTAGTTAGACCACACATGCACTAAACCGAGCCTATTACCCGTATAAATCTCATTGCGTTCTTCGTCATAGAAAAGAGCAGTGATATCTTCTAATGCTTCCGCAACCGTGCTTATAATTCTCGACATGTTGCTCTGTGTTTTCAAAATGCAACTACATTTGCCACTGCAGCTGCATTGTTTTTCCACAGGGAAATTATTGCCAGCCCTTATTTTAGCAAGACATTTCCCTGTCAATATATTGCTGATATTAATGGAGCCTGTCACAACAAGGATGTATCAAGTTCATTAGCCGCACACATAGACGGTGAAACAAATACAAACTAAAGAAAGATGCAGGAAACAAAGATCATTAAAAAGAACAACAAATTATCCTGCTTTACAAACATGCCAAGCGCTTAAACCTGAGTTTTAGGGTTGCATTTCAAAGAAAGTGAGTAGTTTAAAGAAAGAAAATACTAACCGTTTCCTTCAGATAATGGATCATCAGAATCAGCCTTGCAGTATGAGATAATGAGGTCTTGATCACTTGTGATGTATATATTATTAGTGTTGCAGTCAGGATGCCACAAAAGGTGATCCTCAAATGAAGTTACAAGTTCTCCACGGAAATTCCATACAGCCACTGTCCGATTTCTAAATGTAAGGAATAACTGGTTCTCATACAGAAAAATAAATGCTGACGGGGTCGTAAATTCATTTTTGCTAACTTCTGTTAGCTCAGAATTGCGAACCTGCACAATTACATTGTAGAAATTCTTTTAGCTTCCAAACTTTCTACTTTTAGAATGGAATAAATGAATATTCACAAAGATTCTTACATCAAGAATCTGGAGGTTTTCGTTTTCCTGCTTCACAAGAAGCTTTTCATTAAACTGTTCAATGAAATCCACCTTCTTATTCCGGTGAAGAAGGACTAAAAGATTTGAGAACAGTACCATCCTCTATTGAAAGAATCTTAAGAGGAACATGGCCACCAACTTTAGCGAAAATCAATAACATGATCCCTGGACTGTCAAAAATAAATGATGGAAACAAAGTCAATTACGTAACAAGACACCATTAAAGCAAACAGGTTAAGGCACCATTTGATTGTTACTCCCGGTACTTCTTTTATCTCCAGTAAAAAGGCAAAAGTTTGTTTAGACTAAATAATACTTATAATTAGAAATAGTAATTTTTTACAAGAATAAAATGCATAATGTATACAACAGTTAAGAAACAATCAAGAAAAGCCTAAATTATTATCAACTATCAATACGTACGGAAGAATTTATTTTTTTAATAGAATAATACGTACAGAAGAATACGAAAACCATAAAGGTTCCCTTTTATTATCAATGAATGAATCTTTATTCTTGCAGGAAGAAGACAACCATCATGTAAGGAGCATTACCTGATTTTAATCTCTTGCACATTTCTATCTGATATGGAGTATAACATTGTATAATTTTTTAGGTCAAACACCTTGTATATGCTGATTACAAAACAAAAACAATATATATCAAACTCAGAAATCTAGTTAAGGAACCAATTGAGTTTAGCACAAAAGGACATTCAATAGGTGAGTAATTACCTATCCTGTGCGGAATAGGTGAGCACCTTCCCATTAACATCATCAAACTCGACAAAACCAGGCCACTTAAGTGACTCGGATTCAAAAAGAGAAAAACCAGCATCAGGTTGGCCTCTCCGTATGTATCTGTCAATCAAACAGAATAGTTTCAGAACGGAAACATGCCCAAAAGCAGTAATTCATGTTTTTCTTTGACATTTCCCCCCATTTATCTTTTCAGATCAAATTGGAATAAGAGAAGGGTTCTAAAGAGGTTAAAAAGGACAGACATACTCAATCCTTGTGCTTCTGCATTTCAAAGAGCTGAAATTGTCTGATGCATAAACTGAGACTGTAATGAGCGAGTCGTTGTTTTTATTGTAAAACAAGCTTCGTATAACTTCATCAGCAGTGACATTTAGAAAGCATATTCTTTGATTGGTTTCTGCATCCAAAAACAATAAATATTGATACCCCCAACCTAATTCTTGATTCAAATAGAAACATAAAAGGCAATCAAAAACAAGTTTAGAAGGTAAAACATGATCCCCACCTCGGCTAAATGCTGCACATATACCAGATTGAGCAAGAGCAAAGACAATGTCTCGTGCAGCTACAATCTCTATAATCTTTGATCTCTTCCTCAGAAATGATAATACCATCGAACAATGTCCTTTTGGATCATGAGTATCATATTCCTCCTATGTATACACATGCAACATATCACCAACATGAATTTAGTAAGCAAGCTCAATAAGAACAGCAATGCCAATCAGCCCTGTGGCTACACAAGTAACAGATCACCTATTGACTTTCAAATTAATCCTTTTGCTTGATAGACTTCAAGCAAAACAAAATGAAAGAAATACCCTTCTCTGCCTTCCTACTTAATGTAGAAATAAATACAAAGATCACTGTTAAAAAGATGAACTGGATCAAATAGCAGGAATGTATCAAGATTATCTTAACACCAGCAATAGAAAAAAAAGAATCTAAGTTTAAATATCCACCTATGCATTTGAGCTTATATTTCTTACTCGAATTTCTTAAACAAGCTTTATCATACAAGGAAATAAATAAAATCGACATCAGGAATCTTTGGAACAAAATTCCACCATTTCAAACTTTTTCTTTCGCTATTAATCATATTATAAAAAATTAAACAGACAAAATATAAAGATCAATAAATTTTAAAAAACAATAAAACTGAATCAGAATTGTAGCAATAGTAAGGTAACATGGAAAGGATGGATGCTCCACTCTAGTAATCTATTAATATACAAAAGCTGTCACTGTGATTAAAGTGTAAGCTGTTAAAAAGGGATTGTGTATCAAACTAATTTGAACCCCACTGATTCAAAGCTAGAGTTTCCTTTATTTCTACCATAAATTTGCAACTGTGGCTAAAATGGTCAATTTTTTTGGATTGTTATCAAGAAAGCGTGAGAACCTCGACCTAGATCTTATATCCGAAAGCAGAATTCTCATGTAAATTGAACAGAAAAAGGAAAAAATCCAAGCTTTAATTGCAATACCAGCACATAAAGAATAAGATTTGTGCGACAATGAAATAATTAGAGTAGGCTTAGGTAAAGTAAGTAAAAGAAAGAACCTGCAAGCGAATGTTGCGGAAGCGCTCCTGGGCGTCGGTGATGGAGAACGCACGGTGTCGCTTGGAGCAAATTTCTCTTCGCTGAAGCTTCTTGACGCTGTTAACAAAGCCATCCGCCCTCCCTCTCTTCTTCGATGCGACTATTCTCCGTCCACAGCAAGGCCTTGGGCTCACCGCTAATCTCCGCCCACCATCCATAACTTGTTGGTTTCCTCCTTTGAATCTAACTAAGTTCTTCGCAAAACCCTAAGTCCGAAAATACCCCATAGCCGCTGGTGGTGGTGGTTGCGCTGGGACTTCAGCTCCCATAAAATTAACAGCCCTCCTACTCCTAAATCCTCCAGTTCTAGGGTTTTGCTAAGTAATACTATTCTGCCCAAACAATAATCTAACAGAATACAGTCAACTCCCTAGCAGAAGATCAAGATTGTTCCTTTGTTATCTTCTCCTCCTCCACTCGTCTTTCCATCTAGATTCCCGTTAGCATGCCGTACGATCTACTTTTCAATTTTCGAATTGAAATGAATGAATAAATAAATATATAAATAAATAATAGGGTTTTTTTACTCACAATGTTACTGAATTACATGCGGTCATTTCTCAATAAAGTTGGTATTTATTTTTTGAAAATTTTCAAATACGTGCCTGCACAGTATTTATTGTTAATGTACAGATTAAATGCATCAAACGGTAAGGCTAAGAGGCGAGGTAAAAAAAAGTTTAATTATAAAATAAGTGTTAACTTATTGTTATTTTATGAATTTTGGAGTTTTTTTGTAATTTAAGATAAATTAAAGTTTTTTATAAACATAATATTTTTAAAAAAATTATCGGATTGTGACACGTGTTTCATAACAGAAGAAATTAACGACATTGACGGCCCGAACACTTAAAATAGTAATTTTTGTAACGTTAGCCGTTAGACACCGAAATCATTCAAAAAATAATTTAAACATCTATTTGTGAAAAAAAATTATAAATTATAGTATGTCAGGAAATAGATCGGGTCGAATTTCTAATTCATTCTGATTTATTTAAAAAAATTAACTTTTTCACCTACATTAGACTTGATCTGAAATTTAAAAAGATTTTATTTAATCTAACTTTGAAGATAAAATTTATATCCTATCCAACATGATTTGACCTACCTAAACATATATAGCATGCTTATTATAAAACAAAAACCTAAATAACAAAAATAACACTATTATTATAATTATTTCTAAAAATATAATGAATAACTATAATATTATGTCAAGTTAGATTAAATTTTTTTCACCCTGTATTCGAATTTGATCTAAGATCGAATTTTTTAAATAAAAAATAATTATATCGATTTGGATCGAGTCAAAAGATATCAGATTCGGATGAAACGATAATCCCTATTATGTCACGTAAGGATGGTCAAGATTCAAGTCTGTTCGAATATTTGATTCCTTTAAACATCCAAAAATATTATTTCTTCGTCCGTCACTCGATTTGATTCAGATTTAGAAAAAAATTAATTCACCTAATTTGTATGATAAACACATATACTCGATTATATATATATATATATTGTATTTATTAAATAAAATATTGAATAATTAAGAAATAAAAGTATATTGTAATAATTCTTTAAATATCTAAAGATAAATTATACTACTATTTCTAAATTAAATTAAATCAAATATTTTTCATTCTAAATTATATTACTATATCCGCTGTGAACGTTATGATTGAAAAACAACTGAAAGTGAAGCAACATAAAACAACTTACAAAATTATATAGTAAAACAAATTTAAAAGCATAAATAAAAGTATGCGAATCTGAAAAAACATATATACAAATTCACATCCATAAATACCTGTTTAATAAATCATTGCCACAAGTTAATAATTTAAAAAATAATTACATATTTATTTTAGGGTAACCTACGTATTTAATATCTAAACTATCAATTTTAATTCGTTTTAGTACTTAAACTCTCATTTTTTTTCAAAATTATATTTAATGTTTAGTTTTCATTTTATTTTAGTATTCCGTTGTTAAAAACTTAACGTGTTTAATACATAAAAGATCAATTTTGGTATGTTTTAGTACCCTAAACTTTTAATTTATTCAAAAAAATAATATTAAATTTTGAACAATGTTACTAAGATAAAATTAAAACTAAACTTTAGGTACGATTTTCAAAAAATTGAAAGTTTAGATATTAAAACGGACTAATAATTTAGGTACTAAAATCATAATTCACCCTTATTTTTAAAATCAAAGTCCTGAAATTTCTAAATATCAAATTAGATCTTAAACTCAATTATTTTACCCAAAAATTACCCTAACAGATAAATATTACATGTGAGACACCCTTTCTCCAAATATTATCGATCTAGCACTCTTTCTCACAAAGCACTGGTCATGAGGCGCCTTCGCAGAGTTTTTTCCGAGCTGGAGACACGGTGAAAAAACGTTAATCATAATTCGTGCCTTCGCTGGGTTCTATTCGAGATGGCACCACGATGATAAAACACGGATCATGAAGTGTGCATTTGCTGGGGATCAGACATGTGGCGAAAGGTGCATATCATAATCCGTATTTTGCATTTAAATTCCAACTGTCTCGCCCTAAATACCGCCCAACCTCCCGACCTCTCCCCTATAAATACCCCTCATCATACACTCATACCACTAAAAAAATACTTTATTTCTTCCTTCTATATAACGTTCTATTAAGTTTTAAGTAAGTATAATTATCATTTTTATAAGCTAATTTTTTATTATATTATAATCATTTAATCATTTATTATTTTATTATATTTTATTGTACTAATTTTTTATTACCTTTTGCAGTTATAAAATGGTAGGTCAGTTGTTGCGTTTAGATGAGAATCATTTATCGAGTCATTTTGTCGATGCGATAATAATTTTAAATTATTTTATTTTATTTATTGTGAACGTTTTATTCGTTTATTTTTTATTATTAGTTTATATTTTAATTTGTATACTATTTATTTAATTAGGTGAATGATCAGATATTATATCCATTTATTAGTAACGTTAAATTAGAGATATCGAGTCGTGTCTGGTTGTATTTAGCTAATGTTGGATTCAGTTACATAGCGAAATATGAAGGACACTATAACCTTGATTTCAACCTTATTTATGCATTGATTGAGAGGTGGAAACCAGAGACACACACATTACATATTACGTATGGGGAGTGCACTATTACGCTGGAGGATTTTTCCTTGCATTTTGGGCTTTCGGTAGATGGAGATGTTATTTCTGGTGTGGCATATAGTGATTGTCATTCCTTGTGCGAGGAGTATCTTAGAGGCATCCCACCTAATTTCAATAGGAATAGCAATGGGGCGGGTTCGGGGCGGGTTTTGCTCGCCCCGTCCCCGAACTCGAAATGAATCCTCATCCCCGACCCTGACACAATCCCCATCGGGTTTTTTATCGGGGCACCCCGTCGGGGATTTTTTTTGCCCCGTCCTCGAACCCGACCCAAAATATTATACTCAAACCCGAACCCGAAAATATTATATATATAATTAATATAAAAAATAAAAAAATTATATATATAATTAATATAAAAAATAAAAAATATTATATATATAATTAATATAAAAATAAAAAATATTATATATATATATATAATCGGGGCGGGGTGGGGATACCTTGCCCCGTCCTTGAACCCGACCCGAAAAAATCCCCGATACCCGACCCGACCCGACCCGATATCATTCAAACCCGACCTGACCCGAACTTGATCGAGTTTCGGGTTTCCCCGTCGGGTTCGGGTCATTATGTCATCTCTAAATTTCAAAGGTGGTCGAATATTGTTATCATGGTTGGCTAGAAATTTTTTAAGGTTGAGCGACGACTGTTCCAAGGATCAAACTCAAATTTTTATCGGGTTTGCATATTGCAACTTATAGGAGGGATCTTGATGTTCAATAAATCTTGCAACAAAGTCCATTGTATGTGGTTGCGTTATCTCGCAGATTTTTGAGTTACCGGTTTATTCAGTTGCGGCTTCACGATTTTGGCATCTCTATATAAAGAAATGTGTCAAGCAACTGATTATCGAAAAAAATGCTATCGGCGAATGTCTCATTCTTCTGTAATCATGGGCATGGTATCGCATGCCCTTTTTATGTTTGATCGTGAAAATCCTGTTAGTCTTCCCGTTATTGTTGAGGTAATTTCAATACTGATTGTGTATATAAATAATTGTTTTGAGTATATAATGAAATTTTTTTACATTGAATAGGTGGTCATCTATAAGGAAAGATGATCGTGATGTACCAGATGAATTGTAATAAATTCGACTGCTCATTGATCAAAAGACTGGTACAAAGGTATGTATTTAAATTTTATTATTTACCTTTAATTATTGTTATATAATTAGAATATTATTTTGATAAGAATTATATATATTTGTTTTAGTTTCAATGGGCTTATTATTCTACTGAAGAAATGAGGTGTTGCATCCCACCTCACATAAGTGGCCCATTAGATGTATGGATGGCGGTGATCTCTCTGATATGTTATATTATTATCAAGTGGCATCCTATTAATCGCGTGCTCTGCCAATTGGTTTTGTACAATCTATTCCTGAAGCACCTAGGAATTTCGACAATATACATAACATCGATAGACGAGGCAAAAAATAAGTCAACTGGTTGATGAAACACATCGAGTAGTAATGATATGAGAGGATCGAAATGGACACATTCTGTAACACCCCCAACCCGTATCCGACCCGGATACGAGTCCGAAGTGTCACATTGACTTTTCAAACATTTATTCGTATAAAATAGTGAGTAATTTAAAAACTTTGATAACATTTAACTTATTCAAAACGTTTACAAAATATATCAGAGTTCATACAATTTATAACTTTAGACTACATGGCAACTACACTCTATAAACAGTACATATATTTTCTGATCTGATATTTGGTAAGGAGAACTGACCTGTCTTGCTCCGCATTACTCTTTACTCTTCTCGAAACCTACGTGTGAAACAATCACACGCTAAGTCGAAGACTTAGTGAGGCATAAAAACTTATAATGCACTTTATAACATATATCAATACATGTATGTTCTGTTCTATCATGTTATACCAAATTACATGTTTTCTTCGTATCATATAAAATCATATCAGATTAATTACAGTAAATACATACATACACATAACTCATCATTAACAGTTTATCATGTAATCACATACTTTTATGCTTAGCCTTTTCAATCAAACACTATACACACACAACATCATATCATTTCTATAACATTTATCATATTACTAACATATATTTGTTTATATCTCTTGATTCGCCCATGTACATATGTGAGAACTATAGATATGTGAGTTTATGGAGGTTGTGCACTAATGCTGTCACCACAGCTCATATAAATGCACCGAAGTGCCACATAGAATTGCACCGTAGTGCCGCATAGAATTGCACCGTAGTGCCATATAATAATGTCCATAAGGATCACATATCATTCCTTAAGAATCATATACATATACTAGGGATCAAGTATGCGTCTCACCAGACTTCACACATGTTCCAAAGAATACATATATGTCCCGTAGGACCACAATGTCCCGAATGACCACATATCATTCCTTAAGAATCATATACATATGCTAGGGATCAAGTATGTGTCTCACCAGACTTCACACATGTTCCAAAGAATACATATATGTCCCGAAGGACCACATATCATTCCTTAAGAATCATATACATATGCTAGGGATCAAGTATGTGTCTCACCAGACTTCACACATGTTCCAAATAATATATATATATATGTCCCGAAGGACCACATAGACCCTCGACTCTTGGCATGCCAACTATACCCCTAGCTCTCATGACACATAACATGGGCATTGCCATTTAACAGTTCACATTACTTGTCATTTCTCTTCTGTCACATACCATATGTATGTGTAATCATGTATTCCATATCATATCACATGTTCATATAAGCTCATAGCTTCTTTCACATATACATGTAATCACTTAGTCTATTTTCATGTAATTCTTTTCACTTCTCATATGATTTTATATTCATATCTCACATACCTCATATCACCTTGCTTTGTTTCATATAAACATAGATGTCATATCATATATCTTATAATAGATTCTTATATCATCATTTGTTTCCTTTCTACCTATTCATAATCATATATTTCATATAGTCACTTGGCTTATTTCATTTCACATTGGGCATGTCTCATAGCATATATCACACATGCATATAATCATGTAACATATATAATAACCTATATCCATTTCATGTATCCATGCACATATCAAAATCATAAATCAAATAACATTGTATTATTACATACTTTGTTCCATAGCAATATATTTACATATCTTATACTTACCTAGTTTACTCTATTTCACACATAGTCACATAATCACGTAATATACTTACGCATAGATCATTTTCATACCTAAATCATATAACACCCAATTCTTCCTCATAAAGTTATATATTATATTCATATAATATCATGTTATCCTATAAGTAAATACTTATCTTATGGTTTGGTATCATCATTTATACTCAATTCCCTTCACTAATATATTATTCTCATATTACTCTATAGTCTAATCTTATTTAACTCATCACCTTTCTCATGTAGTCATATAAATCTATTATATAAATTCTTATAATTGATCACTTATACTATTAACATGTATGACCACTTATCATATAACCTATTTCATATTCCCATGCAGTCATATAGCCCATTCATATTAATTCTTATACTTATCACAATACATGTATTCACACAATCATTTAACACATATTGTAATATATATCACATATACCCAAATTAAACATATGCCTATGATCATAAATTAATGCATTATAATATAGGAAATAGACTCGTCGCAAGTCTTATTTCCATTAAACATCATAAACTAACTTGTATGCAATCACCTGGCCTCACTAGTCCATTCAATCTCTTATCTTCCCTTTTTATCGATCTTACTTGTAAATGATTCCGGAACTCGTTTAGGCTCTGAATCCTTATGAAGTAAACCAACGGGAAGAAGAAAGAATAAGAATGAAGCTTTCCAGATACTTCCTCACCCATAAGCTTCTCTTTTAAATAAAAGATAAATATCTTTTACATAAAAAGACCATAATACCCTTTCAATTCTTCCATAATTACCATTTAATCCACTATCAAAATATTATACTTTAAATCCCTAAACTTTTCAATTTTTCCTAAATTGATCACCAAATTCTAAAACTTTTCAATTTAGTCACTAACCCGGTATTGCGGATGTTACAAATCTCCCCTCCTTTTAAGAAAATTCGCCCTCGAATTTTCACTGAACATCTTAATAAGAACATATCTTCTAATGTTCTTATGTTGCTTCCCTGACTTATTCTTTCTTGTCATCATCAGAAACTTACTTTTCAATCCTTTAGTTTTCCAATTATCTTTTTCGTTTATACATTCATCTTCTGTTGCTTATCATATAAACAATAACCAGTAATCCCAATCCATTGTTGTCTTTTCTCTCATTCGATTATGCATTTTTCCTTTGACCTTTCTAAAATTCCATATAATTTCACTCATCACGTTAACAGTAACATCCATCTCATCACTCTATATCATGAATCCATCTATTTCTTTATAACTCTCTAATTACCTTATAACCATACCAACTTGTATTTCGTCATCATTTAACCAAAACACAACTTTAAATCTTCTTCAATTGTGATTAAACATATACTTTAAAGAGTCAAACAATATTTTCACATCACCTTGCACACTTTTCGTGTTTCTATATCGAACTTATCATTTACACTTCCATACAAATCCTCACTTCATTCACTATATCACGTTTATGTAATCAAAATATACAACTATATCTAATACAATTTCATCACAAAATCTTGTTAGTCAACGCTAACTCTTTCATTCTAAAGTACAAATCCTTATCATCTCCACACTCTTTCTTATACACAATACTATCCCTTTGTTTCAGATTCATAACTCTGATTCCATTCATATAATGTTACTTATACTGTAGACAGTAACATCAATTCTTATCACTAAAAATAAAAAATCAATCAATTCATTTCTTTCCTCATTTTCTAATTAATTCACCACAATCCAAACTTTTACTCATTCTTTCATCCTTGTCTGTATTACGATACACATAATCTCTTCATATAACCTTACATACTTTTCTTACTTCTAATCAAACTTATAATTTGCACTTCCTTATAACCCTTTATCATATTTACTCATTTAAACACCATCTTTTCATTTCTTTATCCATTTATCCTTTTATTATCAAAATCTTCTTATATACAAATCATATCTTTCCTTTCATGTTCACATACTCTTGTCTTATCACTTATTTTTATCTCTGTGTAACCATCTTCATTGCATCCTCATAACTTTGATATCCCTATTTCTTCTACCGATCTTTATTCTTTATCATCTCTTGTATTTGTATTTTCTTCTTTAAAGCCACTTTTTAAAACATACCAATGCTTATCTCTTTACCTACATCATATCGGTATGATCAAGATACATAACCACATCCAGATTCATATCATATTTGATTAACTCCACTTTATCTTTCCTCCAATCTTATAACTCTAGCACATTTACTCTGACAGCTAGATAATAACTTTTGTTCAATCTAGGGCACAAGCCCTATTATACCAATCATATACATCCTTTCCAATCTAAATTATCTCAAAATTCGCTTACTCAACTTATCAATTTCACTTATATTCTCATACATCCTGAAATTTCTTTTGCTCAAACTCAACATTCTGACTTCCTGTGTCCTATAATCTGATCATCGATATACACATTCTCAAACTCTTCTTATCAATCCTCAGCTTTACTTAAATATACAAATTCTTACTTCTTTTTCCTTTACTATACCACATTACTATGATCCAAATATGCAACTGTATCCAGATCCATTGCATATTTGGTTATCATATCCTGACAATATCTTATAATCTTATAATTCCAGTACATTTTTATCACATACTCTAGTTAGCCAATGCTAACTCTTTC